TAACTACAACTTTTTATATCTTAATTTTAAATTTATAATAAAAAAATATATTTTCAAGACAACAACTTAATACATAATAAATATCTTATTTTCTAAGAATCTGATACTATTAATATAAATTTGTTTTAAATATATAATAAATTATGATAAATTATCAAAATTACTTAAAATCATGGAAAATATGACAAATCAGCAAACATCAAATTCAATTCTTAAATAATAGTATAGATTTTTTACATGTTAATTTTAAATTTTATAATAGAAAAATATATTTTCAAGATAATAATACATAAGAATTAACTTATTTTCGAAAATATAAATTTAATTATTAATAAGATAATTTTTATATCTTAATTTTAAATTTTATAATAGAAAAATATATTTTCAACAAAACAACATAATATATAAGAATTATCTTTTTAAGTTTTATATATATAAATATATTTCTAGATAATAAGATAATTCTTAAAATATATTTCTAGATAACAACATAATTCACAAGAATTATCTTATTTTCTAAAATATGATATATTCATATAAATTCGTTTTATTTATAGATAAATTATATATAATATTATAAATATGATAAATAAGCAAATTACCTATAATCAAGGAGAACATGACAACTAAGCAAATTTACTTCTTAAATAATAGTATAGATTATCATTTTAGTTTTTAACTAGTGTAATTTTTTAAGATTTTCCCTATATATATATATATATTTTTTTTCTTTTGAATTAAAGATATTTTTAAGATTAATTCTCTTTTGTAAACTTGTCCATGTATATAATTTTGTTTCGAATAAATTACCCAACAAAAGAAATTATGTTAATTTTGTTTCGCGCAAAAAGCCAAAAACAAAAGGAACAAATATATATAAAAATAAAAAATCTTTCGGCACTCAAAATACTGTATCTAAATCTCTCCTCTCTCTCTATCATTTATCTCCCTCTCTTCTTCCCGATTCGATCGCCGGTAAATCATAGCCGTCCGATCAACCAGCTTATAAGAATCAAATTCAATGGTCTGACTTTCTCCAGCTCAGATCTCCGGTACTCTTTTTTCTCTAGCTCTTTGTCTCCATTTCGATTATCCGTGAAATCGGGAGCTTGATCCAAGAGAGTCGTAGAAGTGGAATCAATCTGAGGATTTTGAATTTGAATAGTTAGGGTTCTGATTCTCCCCTTCCTTGCACACTGATCCAAATTTGAGCTCGTGAATCTGCTAGGGTTTCTTAGTTAGGTGGGTAAAGTTTGTTCCTTTAGAGCTCGTGAATCTTCTAGGGTTTCTTAATTTGGTGGATAAAGTTTGTTCCTTTTGAGCTCGTGAATCTTCTAGGGTTTCTGAGTTTGGTGGATAAAGTTTGTTGCTCTTGAATCTTCTAGGGTTTCTGAGTTTGGTGGATAAAGTTTGTTCCTTTTGAGCTCCTGGATAAAGTATCTTCTAGGGTTTCTTGATTTGGTGGATAAAGTGTGTTCCTTTAAGCTGTTAAACCATGTTTAAGAAGATCATGAAAGGTGGGCATCGGAAGCCCTCTAAATCCGAGGCCAATGAACCACCGTCTTCTTATGGTCCTGGTTCCAATGTCGTCGTTAGTCACGCCTCTCGTGGTGCATTGGTTCCTTCTCCGTCTCCAGTGACGGCTACTACTCCACAACCTCCGGTTATGACCTCAGTGGAGCCACTCCCTTTGTTCAGAGACGTTCCGGTTTCAGAGAGGCAAGCTTTGTTCTTGAGGAAGCTTCAGAACTGCTGTTTCTTATTCGATTTCACCGACACTGTTAAGAACAACGCGAGAGAGAAGGAGATTAAGAGGCAGACGCTGCTGGAGCTTGTGGATTTTATTCAGTCTGGAGCTAGTAAGATCATCTCTGAGTCTTGTCAGGAAGAGATGATTAAGATGGTTTCTGTCAATATATTCCGGTGTCTCCCTCCTGGATCTCACGAGAATACGGGTCAAGAGCCTGCAGATCCTGAGGAAGAGGAGCCGTATTTGGAACCTTCTTGGCCTCATTTACAGCTTGTTTACGAGTTGCTGCTGAGATACGTTGTTTCTACTGATACTGATACGAAAGTGGCTAAACGGTATATCCATCATTCCTTTGTGTTGAAGCTGCTTGACTTGTTTGACTCTGAAGACCCGAGAGAGAGGGAGTATTTGAAAACCATTCTTCATAGAATCTACGGGAAGTTTATGGTCCACAGGCCCTTTATTAGGAAAGCAATTAACAACATTTTCTATAGGTTTATCTATGAGACTGAGAGACATAGTGGGATTGGGGAACTCTTGGAGATTCTAGGCAGTATCATTAACGGGTTTGCGTTGCCTATGAAGGAGGAGCACAAGCTGTTTCTAATCAGGGTGTTGATACCATTGCATAAGCCGAAACCAATAGCTATATACCATCAGCAGTTATCTTATTGCATCGTTCAGTTTGTGGAAAAGGATTATAAGCTAGCGGATACAGTGATCAGAGGTTTGTTGAAGTATTGGCCTGTGACGAACTGCACCAAAGAGAATCTCTTCCTCGGGGAACTTGAAGAAGTTCTTGAGGCAACACAGCCTGTTGAGTTCCAGCGTTGCATGGTTCATTTATTCCAACAGATTGGTCGTTCCCTTAATAGCTCGCACTTTCAGGTTTGTACTCACCTGAAAGCTGGAGAATTAGTTAGCTTCTTCTGTTCAATAATTCTGCTTGTGTTTTAGACTGAAGCAGGTTTGATCTTACGCTGGTTTTGCCTGATATTTAACTTTCATATCTCATAAAATTCCAATACAGGTTGCAGAGAGAGCATTGTTCTTGTGGAACAACGAGCACATCGTGGGTCTTATCGCGCAGAACCGAGGTGTAATACTTCCAATTATATACCCTGCACTGGAGAAGAACATCCAATCTCACTGGAACCAAGCAGTTCATGGTCTAACTGAAAATATCAAGAAGATGTTCATGGAGATGGATCCTGAGCTCTTTGAAGAATGCCAAAGACAGTATGAAGAAAAACAAGCTAAATCCAAAGACGTGGAAGAACAACGCCTATTATCATGGAAGAGATTAGCCGAAGCAGCAGCAGAGCGAGAAGAAGATCATATGATCACTTCCTAGATCGATACAGTATGGTACTATTCTCACTTTTTTTGTTCTCTCATTTTAATCAAATCGTTTACTATTATTTATTTACTTACAGTTTATAAACTTCGATTTGTTTTGTTTTTTGTTGTGAGAATCATCGATTCTGATTCTGGTTGCTCAGAGAATAGTAGAGAAAATGAGCTAATCACTATCAGAGAATGTCTTTTGTCTGTACTGAATCAGCTTTAATACTAAGAATGTGTTTGAGATTTTCTGTCTATTCTATTATTTTTCCTGTGTATTTATCTTTGGGATATCTTCCATATAGATGATTCCACAATTGCTTCAGCATAGGATATTATAGCTCATATCCTGACAACATAGAATTTATCAACGATGTTACAAAAATATATCTCAATTTACTTCTTGTAGTTGGCCTTTAAGTGTGTAGTCTAGCTTTTTCCCATTGTTTTAACTAGTGGTTGAGTTTATCACTCTCACCAGCAACTTGGTGTTCTCAGGCTCATTGATACAGAGAAAAGTTAGTTATAATTCTAGTCCCAAACAGCCATATTATTATCAAGAGAAGATGGTATCGTAACATTGATAAAGATGTAGACCTGGAAAGAGAGGTTGCTCAAGATTTAGAGTATCAAACATAAGCGATTCTGATTAACTTAAAAAGGAAAAGTATACCAGTATCACTTTCCCCCAAGTCATCCAAAAGTAGAGAATTCGAAAGCGAACTTAAGAAAAAGAAGAAGAGGATGATAAGTTTGATAACTAATTGTAGAGATCATCATCATCTGCAGCAGCAGCTGCAGACGTGGCAAAAGGATCAGCAACTCCAGTGGTTGCACCTGAACCAGCATTAGTCTCGAACCTGAACTCAGAACCAAACCCTCTAGACTGCTGCAGCGTCTGAGCAAAGGCTTGGTACTTCCTGATGTCTGCATCACTCACACTCCTGCGTGCATACTTCATCGATTCCTCAAAGTGTGCAGCTTTGATCTCTGATACTTCATCCACTCCATCTTCCTCCATCGCCTCTGGGTTCAAGCTCCTCCGCTTCTCCTTTTCAATGTCCTGAAACAAAGAAACAAAAGTGGCTCAAAATTTAGTGACTCCAGCTAGAGATTTAACAAGCCTAACAAAAAATGGTCTCTGACCTTCTCGATGTTTTCTCTGATGGCGTATTTGCAAGCCCTCTGGCAAATCTCAGTGATATCAGCACCACTGAATCCCTGTGTGTACTTAGCGAGAGCATTGATGTCTACATCTTTAGCAACAGGAGATTTCCTCAAGCATGCCTTGAAGATATTGAGGCGGGAATCCTCGTCTGGTAGTGGAATGTAAATGAGCTGGTCGAGCCTTCCTGGTCGGAGAAGAGCAGAATCAATAATGTCTGGTCTGTTGGTCGCTCCGATGATGAAGACAGTTTTCTTGGCGTTCATTCCATCCATCTCGGTCAAAAGCTGGTTCAAGACTCTATCTGCTGCACCGCCAGCATCACCTCCGCCTCCACCTCCTCTCTGAGTCGCAATGGAGTCGAGCTCATCAAAGAAGAGAACACATGGAGCGGACTGACGAGCCTTGTCGAAGATTTCACGGACATTGGCTTCGCTCTCTCCAAACCACATAGTGAGAAGCTCAGGACCTTTGACACTGATGAAGTTTGCTTGGCACTCATTGGCTATAGCTTTGGCCAAAAGGGTTTTACCACATCCAGGAGGACCGTAGAAAAGGACTCCCTTTGATGGAGACATACCGAATTTCTCGAACTTCTCTGGGTGCTCCACAGGGTATTGAACAGTCTGTATTTAAACAAATAGCTTACAGTTATTACATTAAAGTACAGATCCACGTGCAAGAAGGGAGAGAATTAGTTTACCTCCTGGAGCTCTCTTTTGACATTCTCCAGACCTCCAATGTCATCCCAAGAAACATTGGGAACCTCCACAACCTGCAAAGCGAAGACATTTTGGAATTAACATCAATAAAAGGTTTTGATCTTGTTCTTAGTACAGCAATGTCAACACTCACAGTTTCACGTAGTGCAGATGGGTTGCTGTTCCCTAGAGCAGTGTGGAAGTGTTCATTAGTCACTGCCATGGAATTGAGGATCTCAGCATCAATGGAGTCATCTTCCAAATCAATCACATCCATCTTCTCCCTGATGCATTGCAAGGCAGCCTCTGTGCACAGGGCTGCAAGATCAGCACCTACATAACCGTGTGTGTCCTTTGAGATCCTTTCTAGATCCACCTGAAAGAAAGAAAACATTAGCTTCAATAATCATTACACTCAACAAATACAGGAAGAGCTACAACTGAAAACTTACATCTTCAGCTAGCTTCATGTTCTTTGTGTGGATCCTGAGAACTTCAAGACGTCCAATTTCATCAGGAACACCGATATCAATCTCCCTGTCAAATCTTCCAAACCTTCTCAAAGCCGGATCGATACTGTTGGGACGATTCGTTGCTCCCATGACAATAACATGAGCACGTGACTTCAGTCCATCCATCAACGTGAGGAGCTGAGACACAATCCTCCTCTCAACCTCTCCATTGGTCTTCTCTCTTTTGGGTGCAATAGAGTCAATCTCATCAATGAATATAATAGAAGGAGCATTCTTCTCAGCCTCCTCAAACGCTTTCCTGAGGTTGCTCTCACTCTCACCAGCCAACTTAGACATGATCTCAGGTCCATTGATACAGAAGAAAAACGCACCAGTTTCGTTAGCCACAGCACGAGCAATCAAAGTCTTCCCAGACCCAGGTGGTCCATAAAGCAGAATCCCTTTCGGTGGCTTAACACCAATTGACTTGAACAGCTGTGGATGCCTCAAGGGAAGCTCAACAAGCTCCCTGATCTGAGCCATCTGCTTCCTGACACCACCAACATCATCATAACCCACTTCATCTAGCCTTTCCTCATCCTCTCTCTTCACTGGCTCGCCCTCACAGAAAATCTCAGTGTCTGGAGCAACCACACAGTACTCAGCAGGATCAGTCTCTATAACTTTGAACTCCACACTCCTCATTCCTCCTCTGACTAGGAAGAGATCACCCTTCCTCACAGGACGGTAGGCCTCCAGGAAATAAGCTGTTGTTGAAAAACAAAATCAAATAAATCCCCAAACAAACAATAATATATCAAAAAGAAAGCAGACAGATAAAGTTTACGTTTAAGGTAAGCATCAAAGAGGTTTCCAGTAACTCCTTCAACGGTATCATCAACAGGCAAGATGTGGACACGCTTCCCGTACTTGACATCAGGGCATTGGTGAACAGAGATAACATCTCCAAGCCTAACTCTCAAGTTAGATCTGACTGTTTTGTTCATCCTTATCTTTGGCTCCTCACATGATTCATCAGCTAGAGCAATGCAGATAGTGTCCTTCCTCTTCTTACCCTATAATACACACAAAAGCCAAAACCAAATCAGAATTCCACATTAAAAAAAAAAAAGAGTCTTTCGTTATTCATAATGCTTAATTGAAAAAAAAAACCCTAATTGAAAAAAAAACCCTAATTTGATGTTTAAAAAGGACCGAACCAACCTTGATGAGAATGGTATCACCACGGAAGAGCTGGAGCTTCTCCATGGTGGAGGGGTGGAGAGAGACGACGGAGTTATCATCGTTGATGGCCTCATCGACGACAAGTCTGTTAGGAGACTTCTTCCTCTCCAGAATAGCTGTACTGAAGTCTTTCTTCGATTTCCTGAAAAAAGGATTAAGCTTTTTAGCTTTAGATCGGAATGGGTAATCAAAATCGGAGATCTCTGGGTACTTACGAGTCGGAAGATTCAGCTGGGTTTGACATAATTGGATTTTGAGAAAGTTGAGAGTTTTTTTTTTGGTTTATCTGAGAGATCTGAGATGATTATATCTCTTTGTTTCTTGTTGCAAAAGAGATTATTTTCCTTTTTCTAATAATATCAAAACCGACCCCTAATTTTTCCTTTTCTTCGAATGTATACCCTTAATTGTGTTCTGTGGGAAACTACTCCAGTTCTCTCCAATTTCCATAAATAAAAACTGGCGTACGGACACAAGTACTATTAGGGCTGGGACCTATATCCGGGATCCGCTATCCGATCTGGGATCCGATCCGGGGTCCGATCCGGGATCCGATCCGATCCGCTCCGAAAAAATGGATATCCGGGGGGTCCGGATCCGGATAGTGATTTCACGGATCCGGCGAATCCGGATAGTGAAAATTTCAGTCCGGATATCCGGATCCGGATTCGGGCCCACTAAATATTTAAAAAATATTTAAAATATAATTATATTTATATAGGTATATTATATATTTTCTATTAAATATAACTAATATTTAATTTTGTTAATAAATTCTATTATTTTAATTTAACTTTTTTGAAAATAACAATTTTTAATAAAATAAATAAATACTGAATTTTGAATTTTTTTTTTATTAAAAAAAATAAATAAACCGGATCTGAGTTTTGGTCCGGATATCCGGATGGCCCGAATCCGGATCCGGATAGTAATTTTACGGATCCGCCGAATCCGGATCCGGATATCCTGAAATATCCCAGATATTCGATCCGTCCCAGCCCTAAGTACTATAGACTGTTGTCTCAAACATCGGTGTTTGAACTTGTTGGTAAAAACTATATTTGATTGCAGTTGTGGACAATGCATAATACTATTTAGATTAAAAAAAAAAAAGCATACTAGTATTTAGAATCTTTTCATTTTTTTTTTTGTAACAAGAGGTTGAATCTTACACAATCAAACGTTATTGTCTTTGGCCTCCATAACCTGCCGAACCAACTTCATTCGCTACTGCGACCATTGAACTTGAGATTTAGAGCAATTTTGTTACGTAGTAAAAACCACCAGCTGACATATAAAGCATGGCCATGGATAAGGAAACGTAACTTTGATATATAATTAATTAACACAGTTAAGTCGACAAGTTGACTGAGAGAAAACAAACATGTTACTAGTTGCTATTTGTTTGTTTTGTTTTTTTCATGTTTTATATTAATGTACATCTATATATATATAAATGAAAAAAACATGTCCTTAGTTGCTTTTTGCTAATGTTTTATTTTATGAAAATGAGACTAAGGACTTAGAAGAGGAGAAGAAGGCAACATCTAAGAGGGAATTTTTTTGTTAAATGTGCCTCAAAATAATTCTAAGAAGGTTTTTCTTATTTCTACTTAGGTCTGCTGTTTCCGAAGAGATTATATTGGCACTGTTGATGTGTTGTTTGCTTGCACTTGAGGGCTACATGGTTTACTTGCAAACTTTCACGAGGCCCCATATCAGAGAGCTAAAAAAAGTATGCAAAAGACTCCTAGATATACCAAAATGCAAATGCAAAGGGATAAAAAAACCAGAGAAAACAAGACAAATTAATGTAAAGGGATCAAATCAAGAAATTCTATTAAATGTTTAGCTGAATGATAATGTGAACTTGCAATTACTTTAGATTTGTTCTATCTAACTCTTGAATGATGAACGGATGACTAATTGATCTGACACCAGATTTTTTTGGATGTGACTCGGTTTGGTTAAGCGAACCATGCATAATACCATTAGTGCAAATTAATTATTAACCTTCCATTTTTTTTGGAGGCCAAACATTATTACGAAGAGTTCGATCCTGGCGCACGATGAATGCCAATAAGTGGCCACTTTAGCGTATCTCAGTTTTCACATTGTAACTTATAAATTTTGAAAGAATTATATGTAGTTTAAGTATTTGCAAACCAGAAATTAAATATAATTAATATGACATAGGGGTAGGACGGATCGGATCTCCGAGGTATTTTAGGATATCCGGATCCGGATTCGATGGATCCGTATAATTACTATCCGGATCCGGATCCGGGCCATCCGGATATCCGGATCCGGTTTATTTTTTAAAAAATCAAAAAAAAATATCAAAATTTACTATTTATTTATTCTATTAAGAAATATTAATTTGCAAAAATTTAAATTAAATAATAGAATTTACTAACAAAATTAAGTATTAATGATATTTAATAAAATATATAATATACCTATATAAATAGAATTATATTTTAAATATTTAGTGGGCCCGGATTCGGATCCGGATATTCAGACTGACAATTTCACTATTCGGATTTGGATCAGGATTCGCCGGATCCGTGAAATCACTATCCGGATCCGGACCCCCCGGATTTCCGTTTTTTGGAGCGGATCCCGAATTGGATAGCGGATATAAGTCTATGACATATCAACATGTGGTTCTGAGAAGGGATGAAATCACAATAAGAAACGGCCATAATGGTGTAAATATAAATCTGCAAAAAAAAACAAAGCTAAATGATGATAAAGTCTTCTACTTTGTATCCAAACTAAATTTAGTCAATACTCAATATCAGAGGCACACATTAACTGTTTCAGAGAGTTGTCCCAATTTTGGCTATACAAAAGAGAAGTCAAGGCAACAAATACGAAAAAGAAATAAAGAGACTCACCACCATGATTGAGAAAAACATGATCAAGCTTGAGAGTAAGAAGAAAGGTGAAGGAGAAGAGAAAACATGGGCTAAAACCGCTTGAAACGACTTCCAAACTCTTCTCCAACTCACTACTCTTCTCTGAACCAATACTTTTTTATCCTTAAGTTTTTAAAATCACTCAGAGAGACCCTTTTTGATACAGCTCATAATTCAAAAGGCAAACACATAAGAGAATAGAAAATGATTGTTCTTAGAGAAAGAACCATGATTTTTTTTTCGAGCTGAGCGATGATGAGTTCAAAATTGTTTGTAACCATAAAATTACAAATATCTATGGATAAATTCTTACATCGTGTGTGGATTCTTTTAGTTGATTTGTATGTTGTTGTTGGAAGATGTTACATGTTAATGGCCGATACGGATTTTTAGCAAACATAGACTGAGTTATGCTGGTTTGTTCTTTTAGTGGTTAGTAATAAATAATGTTTTAATTTTCCTTAATGTAAGAGAAAATTGTAGGTGAATTTTGAAGTTGACATTGTCGGTGATTTAAGATGACTGATGAATGAGTGATAAGACACCAAAACATATTTATTTATTTGAGATAAATTTGACTTATTATCCTTTTGAACCTGAATGTTATGTTTCATATGAATGTAATGTACGCCGTAGTTATTTTGTTTTACTATATACTAGTGGTGTGCCGGCGCTACGCGCCGGATTCATATATGTTATTATAAAAAAGTTGCGATTTATTTTGTGGTTTTAGTGAAGAGATTATGTTCAGAAATTTGATGTTGTAACTATGTTGAAGACAATGATCTTTTCTGATTATTAGTGGAGTAGCATAAGTGGTTGTTATTAATCAAAACAAATAAAAGTAGTAAAAATTTGATAGACTTTACAAAGTTAATTTAGTAAATACTTAAACATAAAGTAAAGTTAATGTTTGTGAATGAAAAATGTAAATAGTTGTGTTTGTTTTGTGATTAAGTTGTTTCAAGGAAGATAATATATAGTTTCATCCTCTTAAAATAGTAACAATCCTAGACTGATCGTTTATATCTTATACACAAAATAGTAACAATCCTAGACTGATCATTTATATCTTAAACGCCACCATTCTCGTGACCGTTAAGATCAAGTCCCGTGAGCATATGTAGATAATCAGAGATACAAAAGGTGAACTTAAATCCTAATGCTTCAAACATAGCTTCCATATGCTCATTATCCTCTGCCGTTGGTCCACCGTCAGGTGCGGTGTTTTCAGAGAACATTCTTGTCCCGAACATAAGTTTCTTGATAGCATTGCCGCAGTAGTGTATCAAAGAAATCTGATCGGATATCCAAAGTACTTGAACCTCTTAATCTTATTCCAGCAGCGATCGGATTTTGATAGTGTGTGTTCCTAGCCAAGGATATCAAAGAAATATTTTCCTTCTTTGAGGTTTCCTCTGCACAACATTACTAAACCACAAAGATACATACCTTTATCATATTTTCCATAAGTAGATTGGCACATGTGAGGTGATTGAGTGCTTTGATTGATTTGTGGTGGAAGAAGTACTGATTTATTCCCTCACTATTAAGATGAGCTTTAGCTGATATGTGTCCGATAAGGGGGGGAGGGGGGCTGGTGTGCGTGGTAGATATTTCTCTTGTAGCCAAGGCTGCCGTGATTCAGATATTGGAGGAACAAAGATTAAAGAGTAGGAATAAGTACATAAATTTGTTTACAAAAGAGTAAGTTGTCAAAGTCATAAAGAATAAGTTTACGTCTCCTTTGGACCATTTTTTTTTAATTTTTATGACTTCTTTTGGTTACAGATGATGATGATGCGCTGGAGTGTTCAGAAACACTAAGATTTTTTGGAGATCTCCATGTGGTTGCTTTGCCATTAAATTCAACTGGCATCTTCACCATTAAATCTGAAAATCGCAATGATTGAGTAATTAAGAATCAAGAGGTTGCATCAGAACTGTGTTATGAAAGAATGTAGGAGATGCGTACTTACTGGCTTTTGCAATTACACTGCATTTACAGTGTGAGCTAATCATTCAGTTGGGAGGCGTGTAGGTATCTTGCAACGATAAGCTTTAATTTGTAAGATTATAGCTTCTTAAATCCAATTTTTGTGTTAATTTTTAGCAGTTTGTTATTTATAAACTTGTCTTCTAAGCGTATAGGATGTGTCAATATAGTTATATAAGCTCTGAAATGTGTCTAATCTTATGAGATGTGCAAGTGTTCATAATTTTCTGTAATGGTAACTTCTTAATTTTATCATTTTGTGTTAATTATTATCAGTTTGTTACTTATAAATTTCTCATCTAAGACCTTTGTTTAGACAAAGAGATA